GGCTAAACCCGAATGATTCTAGTTCTAGGTCTTGTGTTAGTTCTAGTGATAGTGCTAGTGTAAAAGTAGAACTAACACTAGACCGAGAACTAGAAACATTCGGGTTTAGCCGCACGTCTCTCAAGACGGCTAAACCCGAATGATTCTAGTTCTAGGTCTTGTGTTAGTTCTAGTGGTAGTGCTAGTTTTAGTCCAATAAAAATAAGCAACATAGTGATATCTTATATTAACTAGCGCTACCTACCACTGTCACTAGAACTAACATAAACCTAGAACTACAAAAATTCAAACATGTTTCATTTTATGCAGGACAAAGTAAGTAAGTAGTGAGTGAAAATATATTTTTGTATATCACATCTTAATGAAATTCACTCTATATACCTACGTATTATATGATGGCATAAATATATATAAACAAAATTCATTTTACTAAAAATTTGTTTAACATAAACTATTTTGAGTTGAGTGTAAAAAAAAAATCCCGAATTATCGCATCGACACGATAATTAACGCTCGGAAAGAGTTGAGTCTTTCGATCTCTTCGGGTCGTCGTTCTTCGTCGTCGGTCGTTTCTCGTTTTACATGAAGGTAATTGTGGGTCCCAAAAAACCTTACATCCATAACCCTTCGAGTGGTTTTATTTTCTACAATGCCAGCTTGATCAGGCATGAAATTTCATGGCTAGTTTTCTGAGAGGGCGGAACACTACCAACCACAAATCAAAGAAGCAGTGGCCCCTCATAACTCGTTCTATACGTCGATACAGGACCGTCTTCGGGCGATATTCGAATGGAAATTCGTTGTTATCGGGGAAAATGAAATTGGTAGGAAAAATAGTTTGATATAGATTTGGGACGGTATGGTTTTGAGATAGGAACGGTTTGTTTCTAGTGAATATGAATTGAATGGGGTTGAATTGAATGGATGGGACTGAAATTACTCAATACGCCTCTTTTTACTCCCGTCCGGATTATCTTTTATTGCCACAGGTTGCAGTAGTTAGTTTTAAGGTCCCCAGTTATTGGAACGACCTTGTTTTATTATCTTTCAGCTAATTACACT